TCTCACATTTATAATTGAGTTATTAGTGGAATTTAAAAAGAGTGATTCTTGTCACCAACCCACAAAAATGAATAATTGGTCAAGAAAGCTCAAATGAGCAACGCGAAAAGAGTTGATTGAGTTTCATTAGAAATATTTAATTGATTTGAAAGGAATATTTTTTATTTTTTATATTATACTCTTAATGTATCAAAAGTGTTGTAACATGAATCGTGTTAACTTCCATTAGTTTTTTTGTTAAAAGTCAACTCATTAATATTGACGAAAAAACTAACGAAAAATTAATAGATTAGTCACATTGTAACATTTTTATTATATTGGATATGTAATGTGATAAATTTAATATTTGAGAGTGTAAAATTAAAATCTTAAAATATTGTAGGGTGTAAAATACAGTTTGCCCTATAATCGATCTATTATTATAGTGTGTAAGTTGTAAAAGCACAACAATGATCAAAATTGATCTAATTTTTATCTACTTTGGTCTAATGGTATAAAATTTATCCCAATTTTTTTTCCTGCTAAAAAACATATATTCTCTAAATGGTCTTTAATGTCAAACAACTCAATTAACACATCAATACATTATCTAATGTCAAACAATCTCATTAATCTATACATACCTCTTTTTTTTCTCTCTTAATTTTAGTTTTAAATTAAATAATTTAAAAAAGAATTATATTATTTTAAAATTTAATATTATATAATTAATGTTCTATTTTTTTAGATTTTGAAGATTTGACATTTATGCAAGAGCTTGTTTTTAACTCAGTTTCAACTCAAGCTTGTATCAAAGCGGGCTTGAGTAATAATTTAGGTTTGAAATTCAAACCCGAGCTGAGCATAGACACCCCTCCAAAGATTCAAGTTAAACTTGAGCAAGCTGAAGCCATATAGGCTCGATTAACACTCTCTCTCTCCTCCACACAGATTTATAAACACACACACACACAAATCACACGAAACACACCCACATAAATTACGCACACAATCACACAAATCTACACACATTTATTGCACACACAATGATTAAATTAAGACACCCTCAAATATTTGGTCAATTCTTTATTATTCTATTTTTAATTTTTTAATATTCTAAATATTTTTTATTATTCAATTATTATGTTATTTAATTTCTTATTATTATATTCTTACTTTGTTTGATTAACAATTTATTTGTTTATTTTTTTGATAAAAAATTTTCAATTATTTTATGTGTATTTATTGAATTTGTTATTATTCAATTGTTTCTTTATATTGGACTATTTATTTATTTATTTAATTTACTATATTTTTGTTGATAGTGTGAAGGTTAATTGTCATGACTTCTTCAATATTTTTAATTATCAATTTATTTGTATTATATTAACTATTTTGGTGGGTCATGATAATAATTTGACTTATAATTTTTTAAAAAAATAAAGAGTGATATGGTAAAACTGAAAATTATTTTATTTTCAGACGTCAATTCTGTGTAGTTATCAAATAGTTTGGTTCAATTCGCACTTAAATTTCAGTGGACACCAAACAATTCACAAATTAAAAATTCAATATTCAATTTTCAGTTTCAATTTCAATTTTATCAAACAACACCTAACTCATACGATTTTCTTGCAGGACTTCGTAGTTTACTAGATACCGGTGATTTTATGCATCCTCAATTTGTGTTGTAAATATTAGTCTAGAAGTTGGGTCCGTGTTCCTTTTAATTGCCAAACTTTGAAAATTCTCTTGCATTCTTACCTCTTCTAACACTTCTGTTGCACCTAACTTTACAAGTTGGGTCCATGTTCACCCTCAACATTTCCTCAATTTTATGCATCCTCAATTTGTGTTATTCGATATATTTATAAATAGCAGTGGTACATGTCGTATTGGTATAATAGTACACAACAATGTCACACTGATACAAGCTAATATCACACTGTTGTGAGAATGCAGTCGTACATGACGTCTTTGATTTTTTTTGACAAATGATCAAACACTTGGTGTGCATGTAATACCAAACACCAGAAGTAAAAAGATAGTTGAGAGGAAAAAAATATTGATAAAATAAAAACATTTAGAGAAACAACGTTTTTCTTGAGTTATCGACTTATTTTCCAAAAATTTCAACGATCTCAACCGTCGTTCTTCGCTACAATGCACCTTTTGTTCTTTAACGATTGATGCTCTGTGTGGTATTAACAGTTTAATGTCGAGTTTTTCACTTCTTCATTATGAAAACCTTAAAAAAACGATTTTTAAATGATGATTTTCAAAGAATAGTGGTTTTAGGAAGTTTTGTCATCCTCATTTGAAGTTTTCACAATCCCGCGATAATGGTAGAATTATGCATAACTATTATCTATTTATTTCTTTTCGGAGGTGTACTCACTTATTTAGGAAATTGTTCAATTTCTACAAAAAAAAATGGGTATTTTAGATTTTGGGTATGACATGCGTACTTTTTTACCGATATTTTCAATTTGTGGTACTTTTTGCTTAATATTTATAATAAATGATACCAGCCCCCTTAATTTTCAAAAAAATAAGAATAATGTTATTAGAACTTAATTTAATAATATAATTTGTTGACCTAATTCACTATGACTTTTAGATTCACTATAGACCCCATCAAATATTGAAACTTGGTATTGATCCAATAATTTTTATGAAACCAATTATTATATCAATAAATTAAGTTCAAATAGCAATATTCAAAAAATAATTAAGAAGGCTGACTAAAAAGGTCATATTGGGCTGGACCAACCAAGCCCAGCAGATTAACTGTGGCAGCAATTGAATTGAGGCAAATTGCCGGTGTCTACCGAGGTGAAATTATGATTTTAGACTTCACAAAAGTGGGTTAATTTCCCAAGCACAAACTCCAATTGGACTCATGATTTTTTTATTTATTTTTAGGTTAATTGTATTTTATCTCCCTTTAGTTTTGGCCAGAATTATCTCATCTATTTGACGTTTAAAATTATGCATATTTCCTCCTTATAGTTATGTACCAAAATAAAAAGATTACTTTTATTATCAAAGTTAACGAAGATTGTGTTCTACATATCCAAAATATGTTATGGTCTTTGTTTTCCATTGTCTTCCTCCAAAAGAATATTGTCAAAGTGTCTAAAATACCCTTTTTAATATATGATATAATACCTGAATATGTACGACATCGATCACAGATAAAAAAATATGTAAGAAAAATATAAGTAATTTTTTATTCCGGAACAAAACCTCACATGAGGGAAAAAGAGACTCGATATTTTTGATTGAAATTTGTTGGTTTGTTGTCATGTTCCATTAGTTTTATGGTCAAGAATAAATCAGACGAAAAGTTTGATTTTGAAACGTGGGTATTATGGTAATTTTTTAATTTCATTAATAACGTGAATAATTTCACTTTGGTACATAATTATAAGGGATGTGCATAATTTTAAACATCAAGTAGGTAAGGTGTTTCTAGCCGGAATCACATGATGATAAAAAACAATTAATCCTATTTTTTTTAATAAGAAAAATAGAATTATATTTGAGTTTGGGCTTTAGTGTTGAGCCCAAAACGGCTCTAGTTGAGCTTCGTCCAAAGATTTTGGCAAGGCCTAAACATTAACAAAGTTGAATTCAGGTATACTGGCCCAATTAATACGATTAATCAAGTTCTAAAATAATTCTTTCCAATATTGAGAATTTTTTTTATGAATGGGTTTACATAACAATTCAACAAAACTTGATATTAACTTTTCAGGGGTCAGTTTCGTAAATTTGATCATGTCATTTTACTTTAATGGGGTCTTATTTTCCGTTCAGCAAGGAACTAAAATATTTTTAAAAAAGAATATCCAAATCTCAGCCACCTTATGTAAAGGAAGGGCATTATAGTAACTTGAATTTTTCCTAAGGTGAATGACACTTTGCATCCTAAAAGATTCCCAAATTTATAATTTATGTCTTAAAAAAAGATTAAAAATTTCACATTATACAATCAAGTAAAAGAACCAACGATATAGTTCAAAAGTAAATATTTTGATGCCTTTTCTAACGAATTTTTTTTATGCGCCATAAGATCCTATTTTTGATACACAGTCATTTACACAATACTCAATTTAAAGTATTTTAAATAGAAATTTGATACTCAATTTCTCTAAAATGGAGTACATTTATACTGTATTGTTTGATTAAGGGTGTAGTCTGAAATTTTAGTTTTTCAGTGTATAAATTAAGAATAGTGCTAATCTCAAATTGTACTTGGAAAGATGATTTAAATTTTAATTTACACCTTTAAAGTTTAAAAATATTAATTTACATTCTGAAATATATAAATTTATATCAATGTGCATTGGGTTAATTGCCATTTATTTTGCAGTTAAAAAAGTTTGGGGTAATTGCAAATTGTTCCTTCAAATTTAAATTTATGATCCAAAAAAAAATTTCATCTATTAATACTAGTTAAATACATTAATACTTGTTATTTTCTTGTCGAGTTAATTGCATTGTATTGTATATTTCACATTTAAGATAATTAACATAACACTATTTAAAAAAAACTTATTTTTTGCCTACAATACTTATTAAATAGTTATTTTTTCCTTAAAGTTAGGCACAACACGACATAATTGAAAGTTATTTAACGAATATTAATGGATATAATTATTTTTGGATCATAAATGTGAAATATTTAAACTTTGAGGGTGTAATTTATAATTAGTCTAAACCTTTTTAATGACAAAATGGATAACAGCTAGCTCCAGGTGTATATTGATACAAATTTATGTTTTTCAAGATGCAAATTAATATTTTTAAACTTTGAAGGGATTTGTCGGGTGCAAGTTGAGATTAATCTCTTAAGAATACGAATATTTTTGGGGTCTAAAGTGTTATTTATCTTTTTCCGGATGCAGAGCTCCCAATTCTCACGTGCACATCACGTTTTGCTCTCCGGGTCCAACGTTCAACAACGATAAAATGCACGCTGAATCAAACTATTTATACCAGCAAAAAAAAAGAATTAAACTATTTATAGCTTTCTCTCCTGAAGCTCGAAGAAGAAGAGCCGATTTCTTTGAATCCTTACACTATGAAGAAGCTCATCTTCCCTTTTATCCTCTGCTTCTCTCTCTATCTATCCTCGTTTTTCCGCCTTACGATTGCCAGAGGCGGCGAACCGAGCCCTAATCGTTCAGGTTCCTTTAATATTTATGTCAAATTGTGTTACTTATAATTTCCTCCTGTTTGGCTGTCCTAAATGAATGAAAAGAAATTGTAATTAGTTTAGGAAATGATTTTTTCTGGGTAGATGGAAGGTTTGTTAATCCTGAATTTATGGTGATTGTTGACTGATTGTGAATTTGTAGCTGTATTCATCATGATTAGTTTATTAGATTCCCTATACAGTGCTAATTGTTGTAACATGAGGAACAGTGATAATTATAGAAGTCGTAAAGTAGCAGTTATTTAATTACTTTTAATAGGCAAAGTTGTTAAAACGTGTATCGTAATGTATTCGGTATTATAAGATACTAAAATACGTGCACTTTTATAAAAGATATTAAAAATAAATATACTTATGACAAAATATCATAATAAAATTTCATTGCACCACAAATTTATCACAAAAAACAATTTAAAGAAACTACAAAGACAAAAATAAAAATTAACAATCTAAGTCTTGAAGTTCTAACATAATCATCAATATCAAAATTTTGCTAGTTATAGTTCTACCATCTAAAGTAGTTAGAGGAGGACACTTTTAACGATCACACTATTTGCTCTCGCGATGGAACAAAAAAAAAAAAAAGACTTTAAGTGAAATGTGTCATTTTCTAGTTAAAATTTGACAAAATTATTTTTGATTTGTTTCCCATCGCATCAGGCAACTTTGTATGTATCATCTTGTATCAAGTATATCGTATCGTGTATCATATGATACGGTGCAAACCGATACACTTTAGTAATACGTATCATTTTTTTCATATATCAAAATGTATCGTATCGCGTATCATACGATCCTAACAACTATGTTTGTAGGTAGTTATATCTTAAAATCATATATCTATAAAGAGCCTTTATTGAAAATTGAGAAATTTGATTCGGTAGTAATTCTTTGCGTTAAGTTTTCTTTGACGCAAATGCTGCCTCAAAAAAGTAAGTCATACCGTTCAATTAGCTCATTTCAGTGGAGATTATCAGAATGCCTGGTTGAAATATTTGTTTCTTTGCTTCTAACTAATTATCAAGGTTCAAAATATCGTTTCGAAACAGTTGAAACATCCGAAACGTTTTCGTTTTTAAGGAGACCGAAACGAAACAGTGATGGAATCGAAATTCTAATATTTCGAGGTATTCCATAATGTTTCGAGATATATTATAATATTTCAATGCATTTGCACAATTATTTCGGAATGTTTCAAGGTATTTCAAGATACTTTGATATATTTCAATTAATTTATTAAAAAAATAATTTTTAAATTTTTTATTTTTTTATTATGTTTCCGAAACGGGTTAAAACGTTTCCGAAACACATTGGAACGTTTCCGTTTCCTAGGTGACCGATACAATACACCGAAACGAAATTTTGATCCTTGCCAATTATTGATACTAACTTTGACCCCGACTTGTAATATTAAGCTTGAAGTTCAATTGATAATCCTATAGTTTTACATCTTGAATTTCCAATTAATTGAAGTTTATTCATTTATTTCTCTTTCTTGTGTTAATTGTTTTGTGTTTTCAGCAGGTTTCGTCGAAAATAGTTCTGTGGGTTCATTAAGGCAATTGTTGGAAGAAGACCACTTTCGGAAACTGTATTTTTTGAAACTATTCCATTTGACTCTTCCAATTTATTTTAGTATTTTGCTATGTTATTTGAGTTTGTGATTGAATGAATGTACTAAATTTGTGCTGCAGTGAAAAGTTAGCTCGTGGTTACATGTCTAATTCTGAAGTCGAGAAGGCTATCAAGGCATTTGTTGATAGATGTAGTCACATATCCAGGATTTACAGGTAATTTCATTACATAAAGAGTTTTGCATGTTAGCCACTGGAATGGAATTTAATTGCAATGTACTAAAGAAGTAGATAGAGGAACTAATCTGCAGTTCTTTGAGCTGTCATTCATGTGGGATCAATACATTAATTGATGTATTGGTTTGTTTAAAGGCATGTAACTATGATTATTCTGACTCATTCATTTTCTCTCTTTGAGGGATTTTTGGAATTTTCAATCAGTATTGGAAAGAGTGTTCTAGGATTTCCACTGGTATTACTTCCGCCGATGCTAGTCCATTACTCAATTTATGACTTTTTTTTTGCTCTCTTAATTTGGTGCTAAGAATCAATCAATACTTATTCTCTGTTGTTTGAATTATTTATTGCAGTGGGTGATGGAAATTTCTGACAAGCCTGGGGAGGAGGAGGCTGAACCTGCTTTTAAGGTAATGATCTCCTAACAAGCAATTGTGACTTTGTTTTATGTTTTACTTGTGCAAGTAGTGTGAAAAATTCAATATAATGGCAAACCGTTATGTATCTATACGAATACGATACATATCTTACCATACATTTTGATATGGTGAAAAGCCGATGCACACTTTTTTTTTTTTTTTTTTATAATTTGGTATTGTAGATAGTGAAACAGGAAACAACAACTTGGTTTTACCCTAAACAGTGAGATTACGTCCTTTTTATAGCATATTTTTTCATTTTGGTTTGATTTCAAACAGTCGAAGTCCATGATTATCTTCTTTTGTGATCCTATTCTACTTCTCCTACATCGTATTCTTTTTTTTATTTTCCAAACCGATGAAATCCTTAGCTTATTTTGATCTCTGTCGCGAAGACGAGGTGTTGTCTCTCTTTCGATTTCTATCTCTAATATGCATTGCATGAAATGATAAGTGAATTGAAATAGTGTTTATTTTTTTTTGGAGCTATATATTTACATATTTATGGGCATATATATTTATCAATACATTATTTTAAAAGTGAACCCATCTTACGATGCATGATATATTATTTTTAAAAAATGATACGCATTCCGACACACATTTTGACTTCCTTGATTAGAACAATGTTGGTCCACACATTGGATGGTTCAATATACAGGGTCGGAGCTACGTTAGGACAAGGGGGGCACTTCCTCCCCTTGACTTTTTAATCTATTTTACATATTACCCATTACTTTGTTGAATTTATTAAATTCCCCCCCCCCTCTTTAATTTGTTGAAAATTGGTAATGTAAATTAAGTTAGTAGTCCATTGTCCCCCAAAACAATATTTTATTTTTTTTGATTAAATAAAAAATATGTGAAATGTCATAACCGATATATATATATACTCACTAAACATTTTTGGATTTTTTTGCTCATATTTATTTAGGATAAATAGAAACTAGTTTCATTGAATAATTTAGTCTTAAATCTTATATATTTTGTCATGTTTAGATTTCATTTTTTTTGTATTGATTGTGTACATATGACTCTTCCCAAACCCCGCATGAATGGGAACCTCATACACTAGGCCACTTTGATGAATTTCTTTTGACCCCCACCCTTCAACGTGAAATGCGGGCTCTGCCCCTGTGTGTGTGTGTGTATAATTATACTAAAACCATTTAGCCATCCAATAAGTGTGTTGACATCCATATTATTGTCATTACATGATAATTTGACAGACCGTATATGTAAAGCAATTGTTGTTGTGACATAATGGTAATATAACCATGTGCCGGTCTCTCTTTCTTTTCCTTTTTTTCCTGCTCAACCAAACAGTGCAGGGAAGAGAATTCTCTTCTTGTTCCTTTTTTGCTTCATTTTTCTCCTTTTTATGCAGTGATTTATCATATAAACTAGTTATACTTACCAATGGGCCTTTGGTCCAATGGTACTCCTTGCCTTGTGAAGGCTTTGCTTTCTTGAGGTTAAGGGTTCAAGTCCCCCTTCCCCCTCCCCTCCCATCCCATCCCAAATAAATTAAAAAAAAAAAAGAAAAAAAAAAGTTATACTTCACGTCTAGGAAGTTAAAGTTAAGCTTCTGGGTGCCACTATTGTGTGCCCCTACTTGAAAGCATTTTTATTTTTGGTTGTTCTCTTACATAAGTTAATTATTATTAGAAAAAAAAGATGTCTTTGGACCCCAATACATGCTATGAAGGTGTTGGTGATTGATCTGTTCAGTAGCTTGGATATTGCAGTTCATTGGAAATGTGCATGGGGATGAACCTGTAGGTCGTGAGCTTTTGTTACTCCTAGCAAATTGGCTATGCAATAATTATATGAAGGATCCATTGGTAATTTTTTTCCCCCTTAGCTGTACCTGGTTCTCTGGTGAACTTGTTTATATCAGTGTTGATAGTTTATGCAAATCTTGCCCCAATTTGGTGCAGCTTTGCTCTGTCTTGATATTTTAATGTTTTTTACAATTAAGTTATGGTACTTGTTCTATAGTTAGCTTTTGGTTGACTCTCGTATACTTGTAGTTCTTGTACAAGCTTCAAGTTGTCTTGTCAATTGTTATGTTGCAATTTTGATCTTTTCATCTACCAGATTTATCTCATCTAAGAATGACTATGTTCCGCCTAAAGATATATTTTACTTAGCGAAGATTGGCACATCATGAGGCCCTTGACATCATATCTCATGTTATATTTCTCAGGCAATATTACTTCTTGCTGGATAGTCATCTTCGTATACATGATTGCACATCCACCCAATTGATGCTTCGTTTCAACTGAACCCACTTGTTGTCTACATTTGTCTATGAATATATACATCACTTCATTTTTTAGGATCGTTTCATAGCAATAATGCTTTTGTAACTCATGTGATGTAGTATGTGTGAAACATGAATGATTAACCTATTTTAAGCTGTATATTGGTCACAGGCAACCTTGATTATAGATAAGGTTCACCTTCATATACTTCCATCAATGAATCCTGATGGGTTTTCATTACGAAGGCGTGGTAATGCGAACAACATTGATTTAAATCGGGACTTTCCGGACCAGGTATGTCTTTGCTCATTGGTTCTCTGAGTTGTATGCAAAATTACCTGGTCTTACAGAACTATAAGATTTTGAGAGAGGAGGTGTTTCTAAACTACCTTTTTTTGTCCCTTTCATCTCCAAACTTTTTATTTTAGGACAAACTGGAATTAAAACTCTAAATTGGAGGATAACTGATACTCTGAACATCGTCCACGAATGCAGGTTCAAGGGCAAGTGTAAATTAAAATGAACATACAGAAAAACTACCTGTGAAGAATAAATTTCCATAAGATGTTCTGTGGTCCATTACGGCAGCCATATTTTCTGCCAGTTTCTATCATAAATATTGCTTTTGGAATGCTAGTATCAAGTTTAAAACAAAACATTTGTTGTTCTGAGAAAGACGAGGGTTCAATTGCACTTAAAGTTGTTTCAATTTTGTAATTGCAAAAGATTCCTCCTGGGAGATTTAAGGATTACGCTTACATCTCCTATGGTTTGCTAATTTATACGATTCCCTCTTCATAAATTTACATTGGAATCCAGCAATGGGAAATGCCGACTCCACTAAAGTATTTTCCACTAAAAATTTAAGAGTTAAATGAGATTCACATGCCATACCACAACCAAATTTGTGGTTTCAAGGTTTTTTGCATTGGATTGGACATCAATTAACAAGAGTTTGTCCATGATGATTTTGGCAACCCTTTTGGGAGTATTGTTTATCGTTTTGGCACATTGTTTCGAATTTCGATTACTTAAAAAATGTAAATATTTCAGAAATATTATGGAAATGGAGAAAACATTTGAGAATTTATTATTAAAATATTTCAAAGCATTGATCTAAATATATGTAAACATTTTGAGAAACCTCGAACTATTCCAAAATATTGCTGGAAACAAGCTAAAATATCTCAAAATAACTTGAAACATTTCGAAATATTTCAAAATATCTCAAAGCATTGGAAGTTCGGTTTAATTATTGATTCGTTTCGGTCTCTTTGAAACAAAATATTTCTGCGATTTAGACACAATATTTTGATCCTTGGCAGGGGACGTAATTGAAGATTATTTACACACAATAACTTCTTGGTGACTTTGTCTAGATTTTGTTTGTAGTTCATCTAAATTGTCATAATGGCCGATTCAATAAGATTTTATTTTGACACTCGAAGTATGTAAGAATATAGTTTTACATCTTGTAGGTTTGGCCAATGATCAAAATTTTGTTTCAAAACGTTTTCGTTTCCAAGTAGACCAAAATGAATCAATAATGGAATCAAAATTCTAATACTTCGAGGTGTTTCGACATCTTTTCACCATTGTTTCAGGATGTTTCGATATATTTTGATGTGTTTCAACTAATATTTCAAAATATTTTGAAAATAAATTCATAATTTTTTTATTTGTTTCCATGATGTTATTGAAATATTTCCATTATGTTTTCATTTCTATGGTGACCGAAACGAATTTTGATACTTTGGTTTGGCGTACTTTATATTTGTTGTTATTTTCCCTAAGTCAAGTGATGAACAAATGAGAGAAATATTAGATTTATGAATTCTCTTAAGGAAATTACACTTATCAAATCGAGTCATACATACGATAATGTTTAGTAGTTGAGTTTTTTTTTTTTTTTGGGTAAGTAGTAGTTGAGTTGTTAATGTAAATAAAAATTTAAACAGCACACATTTTCTCAAAAATAATTCAAAATCCTTGCTTCCACATTTATCTGATATTCTTAAACAATATCATAAATTTGAGAAATACATCATGATCTTCCCATTTAACATATGGAATGCAGTGTCTATTGTGATTCTTGAATTGCATCCCATTTAAACGGTTCTGATATATCTTTCAAGTTTCTTGATTGGAGATTTAGTTGGGAACAAATAAGGCTCACAATTAAATGTCATTATGACATCTTCGAAAAATGGATGTACAATTTCACTTGTTATTTTTTGTTCCCCACAATTGGTTTACCTGTTCTCTCTTTATTTGGAGTAACGGATTGTGAAATCACTGATTGACATGAAATGACAGTTCTTTCCTATGAATGATGATCTGGGCACGAGACAACCTGAAACAAAAGCAATTATAAGTTGGTTAAGAGAGATTCGATTCACAGCATCTGCCAGCCTGCATGGGGTAATACTTCTCAATTTCCCTTGCTATGACTGTAAGCATAATGGCATCACTTTCTGTGGTATTTGTGTCAGTTGTTAACAAGCTTCCTTTTGGATCTTATAAGTGTATTCATAGCAGAATTCATAGAAATTATCTTGATTTCAAAGCAAAAAGCACTATGTTTCTCCAACATATATGGATGACATGCACTGAATCATTTGTCTAGGATGTAGCTTTCAATCAGTCTGAGAAACAAATTTCTTTCAAGCAAGATTTTAAGTAATTCGATTCTTATGTCATTAATCATGTGTTTTAGTGACAGAAGTAGAGGAGAATCAGCAAACAAGAAAAGTGCCAGATTGAAGTGGAAAATATTAGTGCTTAGCATTTAATCTTGCATGGATGGTGAAAAATTGCCAAAGGATTTACTGACTTAATTTTATAAGTACTTATCTGGAAGGTAGTTGTAGTTCCACTTGATGACTAACATTAACCAATCATTGATCAAGGTTCAGTGAAAAATTCAATACAAAAATGGTGACGTGGGCAACCAAATTTTCCAAGAAATATGATAATAATAATTATATCATTTATGTATACATTATAGATCAGGTATTTTTTGAGTTTATATATACTATCAAAGGTATGAACAATAAAAACACATATAATCATATTTGTAGTGGTCTAAAGATGGTGGAAGGCATGAACAATTATTAATGTTTACAAAACATTTTTGTGGTTTTTGCGATTTGAGAATATCAGATGAAAATCAATTGTTTCCTTTTGATTAACAGAAACTTGGAATGATGTTCGGACATTCAATAATGGAATTCTAGTTGCTTCTTTGTGTTGTCAAATTGGTTTTATATGTTTGAATTTAGTCCAGTGGTCTTTATTATCTATTTGAGACAGATGTTCTGCTCACTTTGAAGATGCATCTACTATGAAACAGGTAATGATTGAAAACAAAATGGTTGCATCATGGCCTTTTTTTTTTGAGTTTTTTTTTCTCTTTGAATAAGAGAGTTCCTCATCATAGACCAGCTTATTCCTTCCTTTTGAACAGTAACTTGATTAGTTGACTACTTGACTTAAATTAGAGTCTGATCTTGAAGAGAAGTTGTGCTCATCAAAGTTAAGGGGTTTAAGAAACATAATTTTTTGGTTTCTAGTATTGGCTTATGATATCTCTGATGACTGAACATGGAGAGTGGTGTTCTGATAATGTCTCTTCTTGTTCACAGGGAGCACTTGTTGCCAATTATCCATGGGATGGAACTGAGAATAAACAGTGAGTTTCTTACATTATGTTATTCATCTACATCCATTATGCATTATATGAAAAGAGACTACGTCCGTTTCCTGGGATTATTGTTCAATCATTCCAGTCCTTTCTTCAGTCATCCTTTGTCCTATCTTGATTTTATAATCTTGTGTTTTGGTGGAAATTGAACTAACGAACCCCCTATCAAATCCTAGTCGTTGTTTCACCAAGCTCAATCAAGTTAGTTTCATTAATCAATTGTTCTTAACTCATTTGAATTGGTTTTTGACCACTCCATCTATTTGTGGCTTATTGTGATTGTGGTTGTATATGGGTTTTAATATCTTTTTCTGATGTGTTCTCCAAGAGATGTTATTCATGGTGTGAGAGGGGTTAATTTAAGTCTACTCTGGTTCATTCTTTTGGGCTTTGGCTTTTATTAAATTTTGTCTTGAAAAACTGAGCCAAAGAAGATTTCTTCTGCTTTTTTAGGGAATATTGGGCATTTGAATGCCTGGACTCTGATAAGCAAATATATTGAACACTTCTAGACTATCATATGTTCTTTACTAGTTGAATCTCTATGATATTTGAACACTTCTGATGGTGCTTGACATTATCCATGTTTGTTGATGCATGAGCTCGGGATGCACTCCATTGGTTGCTTAATTATCTCTTCAAGGAAATGCTTTTTTCACACTTAAAATTGTTCTTTATTGTGGATTAATTTCAGGAAAAATTACTATGCATGTCCTGATGATGAAACATTCAGATTCATGGCTAGTTTATACAGCCGCTCTCACTATAACATGTCTCTGAGCAAGGAATTTCGAGGAGGAATTACCAATGGAGCATTTTGGTATGGAAGCAAATCCTATGAACTTCATAATCAGTAAACTGTTTTAATTTAAAAAGCTTTCTAGGCTTTCCTCAGCTGCACCTTTTTTGTAGTCAATTAAGAAGTGACCAAGTCTTTTGAATTATTGGTTCTCTTTGATAATCTCTTCAATATGCTCTTCTTCTCTAGGTACCCAGTATATGGCGGCATGCAAGATTGGAACTACATACATGGTAGCTGTTTTGAATTGACCTTGGAGATCAGTGACAACAAATGGCCTGCTGCTAATGAGGTCAGACCTCGGTTTTAGTCATCTTTGCCTGAATTGTCTGCGTCTGCCTTATTTCCCAGTTGTAGTCCATGTCCTAGCTGGTCAGCCTAAGCTTCAAAACCACATTTGACGAACATAGTACCTGAAAATTTTTGCTGGCCCAACAATTTCACGAATATCTTTATTTTTCTTTTGTTGATGCTGGGGTGGTGGTGGACAGGGGGCAAAGCAAATGCAAGAGGAGGTGAGTATATGTTGGGAGGTTCATATACCTAGTTGTCTTATTTTTTAAACTAGTTTAATTGAGTTCAAACTGATATGAACCGAACAAATTAGTGTCATGTGACATCAGTTGTGTATTTTGTTAACCCAATTTGGACCTGAAACTTTTGTATTTTTTGATAGAGTACATGTCAGCCATTGCATAGATATTTATATTTTATAATTATGTGCAGAAATTAACAAATCGCAGAACTTACATTGTCATTGTGGTTTGTTTGTTAAGTTGCTGGGTGACCAGGTTCATTCCCTTGGGACGGGGAATTTCCTACCTGCCGGGTACCGGTTTAAGCATTATTTGTCTTCTACATGTACATCCTATTAAATTAGGTAGTCTTTTAAGCATGACTTGATCCCCTTGGCTCTTTCAGTGATACTTTATTTACTCACAAAAAAATAAAATAATTGTCAACAAAAATATAATAAATTGTGAAGAGCGATAATGATGGACACTGTTTCATGTTGGCCCTCTTGGCTATATGCACGTGGTTTGAGTTTGGAAGGCATAGGTTACTTTCTCCAATTTTCTTTCTTATTTGACAGTTATCTAGTCAATTGTGTTGTCTTGTTCTTTAAAGGCTATACTGCATTCTTTTTCTCCGGCTTTAACATGGGTTGTAAATGTGCAGCTTCCTACTTTATGGGAGTTCAACAAAATGAGTATGCTAAATCTTGTTGCAAGTCTGGTGAAGGTAACCTGAATAATGCCATCATTGTGTCTGCCATGTGTATCAATAATCTCTCTTAATATTCATTTTCTTTGTAGTAAATTGTCTTTCAAGAGACTGTCATAACAGTCTCATATATCTCAGGAGAGGAAAAGCTTAGATGCTTCATCTATTCTGTGTCCATGCATACGACTTTTCTTTATTTTTTCATTTCTGTCAAGTAAGACCTGTACTGGTGATATATTTTTGCCCCTATTTTGTGTAAGCGCTCACGGTTTTATGTGAAGCTGGTCAATAACTTTGGAAGAATAATTTTTTTTTATTGACAAATTCAATTATTTCTTATGCCTACGTGGGCTTTGGCAAGACTCGCTTCTATTCCACTACAGTCAAACCACAAGTATGCCTTTGTAGTATGTATAGCCTGTGGATTCGGAGGTTAAGCATATAATATTTGTTTCTTTTATACCTCTGCTTGGTTTCTGCGATAGTGGGAGCAAAGAAAGAAAAAATGGAAGTTAATTTATAGGAAACCTTTCTAATGAATTGTCCCTTTCTCAACAAGAATGCATCAACAAAACTACCCTTCCATATAGATTGTTGTGGCAGGAACTTTGTCAATAGATTCCTAGCTAATTCCTCTTCCTATTGATCTTGATTAGCTTGAGCTTAGTTTTGTTAAGAGTTCTCTTTCTGGACCGGACCCATTTTTAGACCGTCTCTTGAACCACCTGTGCATTTCTAACTATGTAGTGGTCTTGGTCAATGTTCTCTATCACATTTAATGTATTTTTCGGTAGGTATTATTTAATATCAAGTGCGTATTACTTTAAATGGTCGACATGGATTAAATTGTTATCCTAAATAGAAGATGGTCCTAGGTTAAGTTACTTATAGTCTTCAGCATCTTTCCATGAACATGTTTTTTTTTTTTTTTTTCCAAATCTGAACAGCCACATATGGGAAGCAATTGTTTATTAGAAAGCTAAGTTCTTAGTAAAGCAGAGAATTTGAATCTGTGGACATTTTGTGGCAACTGGATGCTCTTCATGATTTTGAATGCCCATTACTTCTAAGTATTAAATAGCAACAAACGCAAGTTTAAGTCGTGGTTCCCTTTTCCCGACATTTACAAGCGGCTATTGTATCTTCTCAGTGTTTCTGTAAAGTTGGATGTAGAGATTGTGAAATTATTCATTTATATGACTTCCCGATTACATAGACAGGAATACATGGAAGGATATTTTCATCAGATTGTGGAGGGCCTTTGCCTGCCTCTATTGCAATCAAGGGAATAAATTACTCCGTAAGTAAACTCTTGTTCATAGGATTCTATGTTTGTAAATGCACAGTGATATCTGATAAATAATTCCTGGTGGAAAGACATCTGTCGCTAACAAAATTTACTGACTTCTAGGTGCTGATAGCTGTAAATTTAGCAACGACTTGATTTCTCTGTTATATTTTCAAACTGTGTCCACTGATAGCCTGTGTTTGATTCTTCATTGACAGATTAAAGCTAGCCAAACATTTGCTGATTATCATCGCTTGCTAGCTCCCGGAGAGAGATACGAAGGTAAGTAGCATGACAACCAGTCCCAATCTCCATATTTTCTCCATGGTGGGGTGGCATATTTGTTGGAAATCCCCTAATATTTTTTTTATCTCACTGTCTGTTGATAACTTGATGATATGCAGATTTTGCTATTTCTAAATGGGTAATGGTAACTCTGATTTTAGTCTGTTTGTCAAGAAGTATTTCTGCTGTGTCTGTTCTAGTAAGCTTACAGTGTACAACATAATTCTGTAACTTACTTTTGTTTGCTTTTGTTGAATCCTCGATTTTATATTTTAAAACAATTAGATGGAAGTGATTTGACCATATTCTGGGTAAATGGTCAAAAGCCAAATTCTCAGAGCATGGCAAAATAACTTGTATACCCTTACACATTTCTATATCGTTTTAATCTTTAAAATAAACTAGTCTCTTGGTACGCAAAAACACTGAAATATTAAACAAGATGACAGGTATCATTATCTTTTAATACTATAATGGTAGCATGGTTAGCTGTTGCACTTCAGTTATAAACTTTAATTTTTTCAGAAAATTAGTCCGAAACTTTTAAGGGGCTGTGAAACAATGGAATGTGTGATATCTCATTCTTGATATCTCTGTCTCTCTTTCTCTAACACACTGTGATGACTATCGTTGTGTAATCCGAAAGAATGTAAAGTTCGAAGAAAGGCGGAGCACTACAAATATTTATATCTAGCAATATAGTTTTGTTCCTTGAAGCTTTCATATTCACATCATGTTAACTTTTTGACCCAAATTTTTTTATCCAATCTAAAATCGACAGATATAGCATCATTTCACCTTATATTCTTATTGGAGAAGAAAACAGTATATCAAAACACTGATGAAAAAAAATTTACAGGACAATCTTACAAATACAAAAGTACTTTGTATGGATTAGATTATTGGCTTTTACAACAGAAAATTAGTTTGAGATACTGGCATTAAATGATGTAAATGAGCATTATATTGTGTTACAGAAGAGTATTATTCTACATTGTGAGCCAGATTTCCTAGTGATAATAGAGGCTGAATGGTATTAGTAGGAAGAAGCTAGGGAGCGCAAAGATACAGATGCTTTCCGTTATCCCTCTCATTGACAATTATGGAGGAAAACAAGGCATGGGAATCTTGGTAGCCAATACTTCATAGTGAATAACATATTATTGTGAAGACCATGTACGGTTAACGATGCCCCTTAATATCTAGAACAATATAAGAGGATAACAAGATGATTGGAATTTAGACAGTGAAAATAAAGCAACGCATAGCAGCATTTCATGTAGCTAGAGATAAATATAGATTGAATGTGAGGGTATGCTTAATCTGTGTGCATAAAAGCATGTCTCGTTCTTTAGTTTTGGAGATGCTCATATGGTTTGTGAACAAACTTCTAAGTTTGGCCTAACATCTTTGCCTTATAGTGATAGCGACTATGCCTGGATACAAGTCAAAGAGGACATCCATTACACTGGGAGATGAAACCATGACGGTGGATTTTGTTCTTGATCCAGAAAACGCTCTCAAGGGTAGCCTTTTACGACATGGCTGTGATTGTGGCTCTGATAACAAGAGCAGGCGCACATTCATCGAGTTTTTGCCGGGGCCCTACTTGGAGGTTTCTGCAATTTTGATTCTAATTTTGGCATTCCTTTGCTTTGTATTGAAGAGGAGAGCTATATATAACCATTTGAAACAGAGACAGTTCGTAGGACCGAAGCGGTCCGTCGTGGTCTGATGTTCTTTACGTGCACCATTTACAAGCGCTAACTGTATTGTATATTTGTAGATGATTTCCTCTCCTTTTTGGTATCGGATTTCAGTTTAGAGTGATTACATTTACAAGCTTAGAGTGATTACATTTTCCAATCTTTTGGATTCCCATAAATTGTATCCCTCAGTATAGGAAAAAAAATGTTTGATGTTACGGTACGACATTACATTCACGTGGTGTTACTATCCAATTAAAATGTAACAGGTAAGCAAGTGAATTTTACGTAATGTAGTAACTGCTCTTTACAGGAAATATAATATCTCCTCATATATAGAAGTGAGATTCACCTTGTCTATTAGTTTGTTTTTTATTGAATGGTGACACCAGGGGACAATATCATTGTTATATTAAATGTTTCCTCTGGAGGCTTAATCAATGTGTATGCCAAACCACTTTCCCCCAAAAAAAAAAAATGTGTATGCCAAACTAAGGATGATATATTGGCCAAAATCGGAACTATCATTTGAACCGTGAAAGAAATAATCGCACAATTTAAAATCACGAAAGAAAAAACATGAACTAAACTTTTGTGAATGACAATTGGTAATTCGTTAAAGTGATATATCGTAGGTTTTGAGTTATTCTCGAATTGTTAAAATGGAGATAAAAGTTATTTATCATCATTTCTCGAATCCCATTATAGGTGGTACTCATACGACTATGCCTGAAATATAACCATGCATCGAGTGTATTGGTTGCCAATGTACTTGCACATGGCAACATAAACACATGAAGCCATACACAAGATGATGAGAAGGATTTAGATTCTTTTGAGTACTAGATTTCCTCAATTCTAAAGCACACACCATGAGTCTGAGTGGGTCTAGCTTGAACATACAGTGGGACAAACAGAAAGAATACATTAATAGAAGGTATAGACATTGCACAACAAGCAAACATTGTTCCAATGAGGACCTTGTTGCCGCTTTGACTATTTTTTTTGGGGGGAATGAGGTTGGAACCTGCAATCCTTTGTCGACGAGAGTAAGCCCTTACCATTGAGCCACTCTCTCACCTCACTTTGATCACTTTGATCAAGTAATCAGGGGTTCTTTCCCGACACTGGTGAAGCACATTATGTTACAGGCAAACTGTAATTCAATCCTCAACTTTATTGAATCTGATGCAACAAAACAAAATCTAATATAGTAATGTGTCTGGATATTTAGATACAGAACCTAGTACCTACATCTCAATGCGTTCTTGAATATGACTTTGGTTCTTGAAAGGTCAACGGACATGACCATTTTGGATGTTGATGACACACACATTAGCTAAACAATTATTGTATGATCAGCTCGTAATCAACCAATGATTGATTGTAATCTTCCCATATTTTCAGCACGATATTCCTCCGAGACTAACTTCTTGATCATGTTCAGCAAAAAATTGAAGTCATCATCCCTCTTGAGGAGGCTGAGACGTACATAGCGACTCCCAGTGTTGAACATGGTACCCTCACGACCAATGATATTTGCTGATCGCAGAACAACAGTACAATCTCCGTCTTCTTCCCTCTCACATTTCAACCAGGCATAAGCTGCCATGAGTGTAAATATTGTCAGTTTGTTACTATTGGAAATCTGGTATATCAGAGCTCTGCTTGCTTGATGTCAACCAACTTTCTCAGAACAAAAAGACACTAACATTTTATATTTTATACATTGGACTTTAAATCTCCATGTGGCTTGTGAAAAATAAAAAAGAAAGAAAGATTTATAAAGTGAGAGTAAATGTGTCAATCATGGAAATTAATGGTATTGTGACGCGGACTCAAAACAATATAGAGGACAAATAATTTGAAGTCGATATAGCTGTAAATTATTTTGAGGCTGATATAACTATATACTTGTTGATGACGAAATGATAGTATAGATTTCTTGCTGCTGATCGATTTTCTGATGCTATCTCCCGTTGTAGTTGTGAATTGATTGGGCAAATAGTGAATTTGCAAAGTTTGTAAGAGAACAAAGTACGAATTTTTGATTGAACTTATGAAGATCCAAGTGAACAGATACACGAAAGTGTTTCAACGTCACAGTTAAAATCAAATTGAAATTTAAATACATAGGAAATTACCTGGAGAGGGTCCTCTGACTTTCTGATAAAAAGTGCAGTACTGTGGTGCAATTACTTGTAGGGAAAAACGTTTTGACGTCGATAAGGTCTTGCTCAATTTTTCCCAGCGGTCTCTCATTCTATGGAATGCAAAATCAAATATTTGCCTTGCATCTCCTTCCAGGACTACTTTCAGAAGCTGTAACGCTCTTAGCTGTGTATCCTTAGAGGTTACCAATTCGGACATGGATATATATTCCAGCATTCTTTGGTACACAGCCTCATCCTTTACCAATGCCCACCTAGACGAGAAATAGCAGTGTGATCAACTCAAATTTTCTTCTAGTAGTAGTGGAAGTAGTTACACACTAAATAGTAAGTGCCGCACAGGCAAAACTTGAAATTTTCTTTCTAGTAGTAGTGGAAGTAGTTACACACTACAAAGTAAGTGCAGCAGCATTGGCATTGATCAACTGATACCATCTGGTTGAATAATTATTCAGCAGAAAAACCTCAAAGATGTAATTAAGTTTGCCTCAATGAAGTGTGTGTATCTTACTGCGCACATTCTCAAACATACACATGTTTATATGAATGCGTGTTCTATAATCATTTGGAAATCTTGGAAACTTTTGTCACGATCTATTTCAACCATCTTGATGTTTTAGTTTTCACATTAATAAATAAGATTTTGACGATCACGGTAAGTTGCCTATGGTTGAGATTAAGAAAAACAGATGATTATTAGTTGAGAGTGGAAATTATGAGATACATTTTATACAACGAATGGAGATTATTGTGTCCTTGAATTCTCTTTCCTCGAGAGCATCAAGCAAAAAAAAAACACATTTTGCAGAATTCTGCTCTTAGTTTCAAAGAGTAATTATCATGTGCGAAAAAAGAGAAGAATTTGAAGTTACCCAAATCTAGTTCCAGCATGGCCAGTGAGCTTAGAAATTGTAAAAATCATGAGATCTTCATCTGCTGGAGCTGGAATTGCAGAATAATGTGGCCAATAATAGGCGTGATCATGAATGGTTCTCACAGATGGACCATTAAGAACAGCCTTCCTCAATTGACAATCTGGATTGTTTGGTGAAGTTACAAACTCAATGATTCTTGAGGTGGTATCCGAAGTATTGTTCAACAAGGATGCATCCCCTTCAAACTCAAAATCAACTGCTCGGAAATAGTCTACTTGTTGTTTATAAAGCTGTGAAAGTTT